CGCTCCCCCCCGCCCCCTCCCCCAAGTGCCGCGCGCCCGGCGCTCCCCCCGCCAAGCGCGCTCCCCCCGCAAGCGCCCGTGCGCCATGTGCCCAGGGCCAGGCCAGCTCCGAGCACCTGGCGGGCGCATTGAAATGTCCCCTCGGGCGCCATGGCGCCCACGGGCACCGTGTTGGGGACCACAGCTCTAGCCCCACACACACCCCTCTTCAAGGTTGGCTTCCAGCCCACTCATGCACCCAACCTCTCGGCCAGACCTCCCTACCCTCAGCCCACTGTTCCTGCACCCTATCTCCACCCCACCCATCGTGTCCTGCACCCATTTTGTTGTCAGGGTGATTGGCTGGTGGTCCGCAGAAAGGTTTGCATTGTGGACACATTGGAGAGGATCCAGTGGAGGGCAACCAAAATGACTGGAGGCTGGAGTGCATGACCTATGAGGAGAGACTGAGGGATTTGGGTTTGTTTAGTCTGCAGAAGAGAAGGGGGCGGGGGGGGACTTGACAGCAGCCTTCAACTTCCTGATGGGAATTTCCAAAGAGGATGGAGAGAGGCTGTTCATAGTAGTGACGGATGGCAGAACAAGAAGCAATGGTCTCTGGTTACAGTGGGAGAGGTCTAGGTTGGATATTAGGGAAAACTATTTCACTAGGAGGGTGGTGAAGTACTGGAATGGCTTAACTAGGGAGGTGGTGGAATCTCCATCCCTAGAGGTTTTCAAGTCTCTGCTTAACAAAGCCCTGACTGGGTTGATTTAGTTGGGATTGATCCTGCTTTGGGCAGGGGGCTGGACTTGACCTCCTGAGGTCTCTTCCAGCTCTATGATTGAGTAGGGTGGGCTGGGCTAGTGGGCCAAAAAGTTTGAGAACCATTGGCCTAGCCCTAGTCTCATGATTTTGAAGCCAAGCTTGACTCATGATTTTTTAACACGGGGTGTCGGCTGTATGGCATCTCTTCTCCTGCCTGAAAAAGGGTGGCAAGAAATCACTTAAAAGATGTAAAAAGTTTAGATCAAAGTACTTTTTGAACTGTCTTTTCAAAACGAGGGCAATCTTTCATTACAGGAATAGGGCACATCCAGTTGCCCAGGTGATACCTAGGTGTCCCTTGGCCTCCAGGAGGACTTGAGCAGGGCCTGTGGGGACAGAGGCCCATAGAGCCCTGCAAATCCGGAGAGCTGCACTAGGGATGTGGCTATTCGCAGCTCGTTTTTGCCGGTATAAGTTTTGTATCTGGAACCCTGCACATTTGTGGAGGGCCGCGGGGATCTGCACCCCTGGATGTGATAGCGGCGAATCATTTTTCCCCATGCGGATACATATCTGCGCAGGGCTCTGCCCATCGGGCCAAGCCAGGCTGGGATGAGGAGAGGGCTTC